CGTCGCTGTCCCGTAAGTCTGGGATGTAGTCCCGGCTGGGGGAACGGCAAAGAAAGTATCAAAGAGGGGCGGGTTGGTTGCGTGTGGGTGCGGTTACGATCGCGCCTTCAAGCAACCTTTCCCGCAACACCCGTGGGAGAAGGCACTGGAGTCACACTTCTCAGTGATTCATTCGGAGAACGGGATATCCGGGTGCACGGTGGCCGGCGATAGTCGGCAACGGGGGGCGCGCCGGTGATCCGCTATGGCAACGCTGGGGGTCCACGCCCCCTGATCCGTTAGGCTAAGGCCGCTGTGCACTTAGGCCCCGCTGCGATGAAGGTTCCACCAAGGGGTGTTACCTGAGCTATCGATGAAGCGTACCGCTGGGGGTGCCGGTGCCTAGAACCACGGGTGGGAGAAGAGCGCAAAAGGCGTGCACTTCTTTTCCCCTCCATGCCGCCATTTTACCGTGGTGGAGGGGTACCGGCGATCCGTTAAGGCTCGGCGGCAGTACCTTTCGGTTTCGGCCGAAAGGGAGGCCCCTACCTGAGGATCGCTGGCGAACGGCGGCAACGGGGAAGGGAAACCCCCACAGAAAACCGGACCGCGGTGGGCTGCAGCCCCGCGGTTGCTAGAGAGGGACGTAAATCCCTCCACTGCAGGGGAGCCCGGCGACTCCCACAGAGCCGATGGGCCCAATCGCCGGTAGGGGTAGGTGGCCCTGATTCCAATCGCCCGGCTAATTGGGGCCGTTAGGTGGGGTAGCTCCACCACCAGTCTTGGGGAGGGGTTTCGGGGAAGGGGGGGACCTCCGCTCCGGGACGGGTAGTCTCCCGTCCCGGAGGAGGAGAAGGTCCCACACGAGTAGGCATTGCACGCCGGTCGGGCAGCCGAAAGTGTGGGACACCCTCGAACCGTCCCTACTCGGGCCTCGGCCTGGTTAGGGTGGGGAAAGGTACCCACACCCGGGATTGCACGTCGGTTGTTTCCGACAACCCGGGGGGTGGAGGGGTGCGCGGGCCGCTCAGACATATTCTGAGGCCGGGGTCGCGCACCCTGGGATGACCATCCCGTCGAAGATACCCGGAGATTCTCTCCGGGCCGGCGGGACGGGAGGTGGAGTCGCAGGGACCGGTACATTGGCCCTCCCCACATTCTGTGGAGAGGTGCCGCACCCCGGCAACCCTGCGACTCCTCCTGATCACGACCGCATCCTGCGGCGTGATCGGCCGTGATGGCCCCCCGTGTGGGCAGCTGCGCACGGGGTATCTCAGGGGTCGGCGTGGCATTTGCCAGGACCCCTACAGCGGTGGTCCGACCAACGTTGGACCTGTGCTCACATCGTAAACCCCCGGGGTCGTTATGTCATGTCTATGACGATCTCCGGGGGAACGAAGGCCTTGGCTTAACCGCCTGGGCTGCGAGAATGGTGACCTCTATAAAAAACCCCCCCAATCTCAAGTTTTGCGCCGCGGCGAGGAGATGGATGGCCGGCGGGTTAGTCGGTCACTAGCGGTCCACCCCGGGGCACCTGGCGAACCCTGGGCGTACCAATCGCCCGACCCCAGCCGAGAGGGCACCGGCTGGGGGGTACGTATTTCCTCCCATTTCTAGAGCCCGCCCTGTACGCCTTCGGGTCACAAGGGGTGGGCAACACAAGAATGGATTCATTTAAACTAAAACAAGACGTAGTGGAGGGTGAGAGAGGGGTGGAGGGCGCTTATGCGCCACAAACTACCGTGCAAAAAATACACGAGGTGGGGCCGACTATCAGCCCTACTGGGACCTGGGAGGGGGTCCTAGCCGGGAAGGAGAGAGAAGCGTGCCGAGGCGCTGACACCCTGAGGCTGCGCGGAGGAGCAGAGTCCGGAGAGGATTCGGATTGCGGGGGAGGAGTGAGCGGTTCTGGTCCCGCAACAAGCGCTGGAACAAGGACTGCCCGTTCCGCTGGTCCACGGTGCTCCAAGGCGGACCCCTCGTCGTCTAGTGGGCCCAAGAAGATAAGGAGGGCTAGCTCTTCCCCTGACCTGTCCACCGATCCCCTGGCGGAGAGGCTCGACATGATCGAGGACTCGGGCTCCTCTACGGAGAGTGAGGGGGAGAAAACGGAGCTGGACACCACCAACAGAAGGAGGAAGGACGGGAGAGGATATCCGCCTAAAGATCCAGCCCATGAGGGCTGTCTTACGGCGGAGGCCATAAAAGCGAAGAAGGCCTTCGCCAAGAGGAGGAGGCAGCACCTAGACGAGGATGCGGCCCCTGACTCGTTTGGGGTGGTCAAGTTCACCCCAAGATTGCAGAAGGCACGAGTCGAGGAGGAAGAGCTCTCTGATGAATTTAAGGAGACCTCATCGGCGGACCTGAGCGCCATCGTCACCGAGCAGGTGACCAAGCTTAGAATAGTGGCACAGGGTTGTACGAACCTGAAAGGAACCACGATCAAAGCACTGTGGGACGCCTCAGTGCAGATCTCTGCGGCGGCGATGGCGCTCAACAAGCGAGCGCAACAGGGGGGCCATGCGGTGGCGGCACTGGAGTGGGAAGAGCTCCGGAAAGAGGTCCGCCAGCTCCGGGGGGATATGACGCACTTAAGGGCGGAGAATGATGCCCTTAAGGCCGAGCTGAAAAAGGAAAGAGCCGAGAGGTGGAAGATGGAGAAAAAGGCACGGGAGAAGGAGAAAGTGGAGAAAGAGAGGAGTGAGATGGGATCTGGGGTGGCTGACCCAGCCCGTGACTCCACAAAACCACCGGGAAGACCCACAAGGCAAGATGCGGCCCGGTGGGAGAAGGTGGTAGACAGCAGCAAGGACGAGGCCCCAATGGACACGGGTGAGGTGGAAAGTGTGGC